GAGAGACACAGAAAGTAAGAAATCATCCCCCACTGGGGATGGCCACGACGCAGTCCCTTCTCTTCCATTCTTCTCTCAGGATCTAGGCACGCATGCACCCGTGCCCAGCGTTAGTTTAAGCCACTGAGTCCGGGATTCAAACTGCAGTCGACTACATGGGAGTCCAGCGACGTAGCCATTACGCCATCTGCTGGTTCCCCCAGCATGAGTTTTAAGTCGCTGAGTCTGGACTCGAACTGTGCATGGGAATCCAGTAACAGAACTATTACACCATCCCATCTGTGTCTTTTCTTTTTTTTTTTTTTTGGTAGAGATTTTTGCTATAGGGCACGTGTGCACCCCAGAGAGGGAGAGACAGAAAGCAAGAACTTGGCCTCTGTGGGTATGGCTACACTGCACTCCTTTCTCCTTTATTTTCCTCTTGGGATTTTGGGTGCACGTAACACATACATCCGGTGTGAGTTTTAAGTCGCCAGGTGCGGGACTCGAACCGCAGTCAAATACATGGGAGTTCAGTGACACAACTGTCATGCCATCTGCTGGTCCCCTGTGTTTTCTAAGAACAAAGAATGTGGGCATGACTGATGGCAAGGTACCTAGGGAGAGAGTAGAATGAGACCTGACCATAGGGTGTGTGATTATGCACGACTTCTGGTTCTCTGGTAAAGAGTTTGCCTAAGGGATCCTTGAAAGATTTCAACAGGAAAGTGATCTACTCTGACTTTTGTAAGGTCTTTTGGAGGTGTTGAAAATGGATTGTAGGAGGTAAATTGGAAGCAGGGAGACCCTGTTTAAGGTTGTAGGTTTTTTTTGTGTGTGTGTGCTATAGGGCGCGTGTGCTGGCCAGACAGACAGAAAGAGACAGAGAGACAGAAAGCGAGAAATCACACCCCAGGGGGTTGACCACGCCACAATCCCTTCTCCATTCTCCTCTCAGGATCTTGGGCACGCACGCACATGCGCCTGGCGTGAGTTTTAAGCCACTGGGTCCGGGTCGCAAACCACGGTTGACTATGTTGGAGTCCAGCGACATAGCCGTTACGCTAACTGCTGGTCCCAAGGTTATAGTTTTGTGAGTGAGAAATGGTGGCTTAGGATAAAGGGTGACAGCTATGGAGGTAGATGGAAGGTGCTGCTGTGAATATTACCTGTACTTTTTTTTTCTTTTTTTTTACCCACTTGAGTATTCTATAGGAGGGATTCCTAGGAGGGGAATTGCTGCCTCTGAGAGTATAAATAATAGTAACTGCCATTCAGTAAGTGCTGAGTCTTTGCCAGTTTCTATTTTAGGTACTTTTCATGTAATTGAGTCAAAAATAAACTGTAGTATCAGGACTACTAGCCTGCTTAAGGATGAAAAACAAACACTGGGGCTGGATGGAGACTTGGTGGTAAACTGCGAAACTCTGAAAGGCTGACCCATATGGGGGGTTCTGGGTTCTTATGTGGAGACCTTCCTGAGTATGTTGAGCACATGTGCCCATGATTCAAGATGGGCTTGGAGTGGATCCAGGGCCCAGTTTGGGGTGTACTTGCGATCTCGTTACTTTTGATCATGGGAGGAATAAACATAAAGGAAAAAAATAATCATGAAGATAACAGTGTCAATGGCAGTTGAATGAAAACCACTCCATAGCAGTCTATAGAGCTATTTAGGAATGTAGGTGTCGATCCTATGAGAATTGTTGTTAGAGGCATTTATATGGAGCCAATTCTGAAAGAGTTAAAGGAGTTCAGTTCAGCTGTTAATAAGGGGTCGGTAGGTGGCATGGTGGTTGAGGTGCTGGACTCCCATATGGTTGACCCTAGTTTGAATCGCAGACCTGGTGGCTTGCTTTCTCATTTTCTTTCTCCCTCTCTCTGGTGAGTACATGAGGCCTATAGCAAATTAAAAATTAATAATAAGTGAAATTAAAGATAATTTAAAAATAATTATTTAATTTATCGTTACTATTTTTTAATTTGACCAGAGAGAGAGCGAGTGAGCAAGAAAGTGAGAAAGCAAGCCACCAGGTTCAGGACTCGAACTGTGGTCAGCTATGTGGGAATCCAGCTCCTTAAGTACCACACTGTCTGCTGGTCTCAATTTTTTTTTTTTTTTATTTAAAGGATCTTTTGAGGAAACCCAAGTTTGGTTTGTTTTTTTGTTTTTGTTTTTGAGAGGTTTTTGCTATAGGGCACCTGCCCTCACCGGAAAGACAGAAAGCAAGAAATCCCCCCCCACCCCCCCATGGCCACACCACAGTCCCTTCTCCTCTTGGAATCTTGGGCACACACACGAGCCCGGCTTGAGTTTAAGCCACCGGGTTCGGGACTTGAACTGTAGTCAACTACATGGGAGTCCAGCGACATAGCCATTACTCCAACTGCTGGTCCCCTGAGCCTGGTTTTGAATTCTGGAGGAAAGGCTTGACTATGCATAGAGATGGAAAGATGGTACATTTCAGCAATGTGGAATGTTGTGATTTAAAATCTGAAGGTGGAAAACTGAAGGCATGTTTGGGAGTGAGCAACATAGCCATTACGCTAACTGCTGGTTCCCAATATTGAACAGCTTTAAATGCCAGTCTTGGCTTTTTATTTTTTGGCCAGGTTGTTTTATTTTATTTTTTAAATTATTTAATTTCATTTTATTTATTCATTCATTTATTTTAATTTGACCAGAGAGAGACACAGAGAAAGAGAGAAGAAAGGTGAGAAAACAAGCTACCAGGTCCGGGACGCAAACCATGGTCGGCCCTGTGGGAATGTCCAGCACCTTAACCACCACGCCACCTGCTGGTCCCTTATTTTATTTTATTTTATTTTTGAAAATTAAAATCAAACTTATTCCATTTGCTCACTGCTCTTAAGCATCTTTGTTTTCCCTATTCATGAAACATGCAAAGTATACCAGTGCTTCAGGGCTTTTGCATTTGCTGTTCCTCTGCCTGGAATGCTCTGCTCCAAATGTTTGTCCTTTATTTCATTGTGATTTTTTGCTTAAATAGCACCTCTTTATTAAAGGCTTTTATTTATTAAGAATTATTTTATTTAACTATATTTATTTAAATTTGACCAGAGAGGGAGAGAGAAAGTGAGAAAAAAGCTGTCAGGTCTGGGACTTGAACCATGGTGGTCGGCCATGTGGGAGTCCAGCATTTTTAACCAGCATGCCACCTGCCGGCCTGGTTTTATTTATTTATTTTTTGCTCTAGGTTTGTGTGCTTGCCGAGGAGACAGAGAGAAGTCACCCCCTGGGGAGATGGCCACAGTTGTAATCCTTTCTCCTCTTGGAATTTTTGGCACACATGCACATGTGCCTGGTGTGAATTTTAAGCTACCGGGTTTGGGACTCAGTCATGGTTGACTACATGGGAGTCCAGTGACTTAACCATTACGCCATCTATGGTCTTCCATATGGGCTTTTATGATTTCTCTCTCTCTCTCTCTCTCTTTTTTTTTTTTTAAGTCGAAACTTTTGCTTTAGGTCATATGTGTTCGCCAGAGACAGAGAGACAAAAAGCAGGAAATCAGCACCCCCGCGGGGATAGCCATGTTATAGTCCCTTCTCCATTTTCCTGTTGGGATTTTGGGCACACATGCACATGCGTCCATCGTTAGTTTTAAGCCACTGGCTTCGGGACTTGAACCGCTGTTTACTACATGGGAGTCCAGCAACGTCACCACTACACCATCTGCTGGGTCCTGTGATTACTTTTTCTAAAATAGCACCTTCTGTCATTTTTGATCCTTATTATGTTTGATTTTCCTTTTTTTTAAAGGATGATTTTATTTAACTTTTTTTTTTTTGAGAGGTTTTTGCTATAGGGAGTGTGCGCTTGCCAGAAAGACAGAGACAGGAAGACAGAAAGTGAGAAATCACCCCCGAGTGGGGGGGTGGCCACGCTGCAATCCCTTCTCCTCCATTCTCCTCTCAGGATCTTGGGCACGCTTGCACACGCGCTCGGCGTGAGCTTAAGCCACCAGGTCCGGGACTCAGACCACGGTCGACTACATGGGAGTCTAGTGACATAGTCATTACGCTAACTGCTGGTCCCTCTCTCTTTCTTTTTTCTTTCTCTTAATTTGATGAAACAGAGAGAAATTGAGAAAGCAAGCCACCAGGTCTGGGACTCGAACCACAGTTGACCATGTGGGAGTCCAGCACCCTTAACAACCCTGCCACCTGCCAGCCCCTGGTTTTCCACTTTTTGACTTTTTTTTAATTGCCAGAGAGTACATGTGCTTCCCAGAGAGAGGTAGAGAGAGAAAACACCTCACTATCCCTTCTCCATATCTCCATCCTATTGCAATTTTGGGCAGGCACTCATCTGGTGTGTTTTGTTTGTTTGTTTAAAGGTTTTTGCCTTAGGGCACGTGCGCTTGCTAGGGAGAGAGAGACAGAGATAGTAAGATGGGAAAGTGAGAAATCACCCCACCCCACCCCCCGGGGGGAATGACCATGCCACAATCCCTTCTCATTCTCCTTCTGGGATCTTCGGCACGCACACATGCGTACCCAGTGTGTTTATCAAACCACCAGGTCCAAGACTTGAACCATAGTCGGCCATGTGAGACTTCAGCAACATGACTGCTATGGCATCTGCTGGCCCCACCTGGTGTGTTTTTAAACTACTGAGGCTGGAATTTGAACTGAGGTCAGTCATTTGGGATCCAACTCCCTTAACTACTAAGGTTATAGACAAGCTCTTGACGTATTATCACTCTCTCTCTTTATCTCACTCTCTCTTTTTATTTGTCTTCTTCCAACAGCATCTATGTCTTATTTATTGCTGTATCTCCACACCTCAGAGGAGTGCCTGGCATAGTAGATATGCAGTTTGTTGAATGGATTGTTCTGTTCATGATACATTAGAGTCTGCCTGTGTCCTTATTTGAGACCGTGATTTTTCGGAGCCTTTAATGAAAACTAAAATAATTTTCCTGTTATTTCCCTCTTCTGTGACTTAACAAACCATACATTCTATATAATCAGATTAACAATATCTTCCTTACAGGCTGCGGGCCTCCCGCGTGCTTCTTGTTGGCATGAAAGGACTTGGGGCTGAAATTGCCAAGAATCTCATCCTGGCAGGAGTGAAAGGACTGACCATGTTGGATCATAAACAGGTGGGAAGTTGTCACCTCATTCCCTGTCTCCCCTCTTCACTATGACCATTCGTAGATTTTGTGACTGCCTGCTTGAGCCCTAAGGGCTATGAAAGGAGGGGTAGCATTAGTGGAGCCTATAGCCTTTGGAGAATATCGGGGTTAGCATTTGGTTCGAATTCTAACTCTACTACATCCTACCTAGATGACCTGTGAAGACTCACATCACCTTACTGAGCTTGCCTGTCTGTAAAATAGAGTTAAAACATCTACCTTGGGGTACCAGCAGATGATGTAGTGGTTACATTGCTGGATTCCCATGTTGTCGACCACTGTTTGAGTCCTGAACCCAGTGGCTTATAACTCATGCCAGGTGCACTTAGGTGTCCAAAATCCTGAGAGGAGAAGGGATTGCAGCATGGCCATTTCCCTGGGGGGTGATTTCTGTCTCTCTTTGTCACTCTGGTGAGCATACATGCACTATAGAAAAAATCTCTTAAACCCCCCAAAACTAGGAGGATTTTGTGAGTAGAGAAGTGGTTTTCCAATTTGTGCTTACAAATCACCTGGATAAGTAATTGAAAATGCAGAATTACTTAGAGGCTTTTTTATGGTATAGCCTCTACCCCCACTGATTTTGATTTAGAAGGTATAGGATGAAGCTTGGGGAAATATCATTGAAAGGTATCTTAGGAGATTTTACTGTAGATGGGTCAAAGACAGTTCAAAACACATTGGAAGGGCTGGCAGGTGACATGGTGGTGAAGGGTGCTGGACTCCCACATGGCTGACTCCAGGTTAGTCCTGGACCTGGTGACTTGCTTTCTTACTTTCTTACTTTTTTTTGGAAAATAATAAAAATAATAATAAAGGTAAATAAAATAATTCTTTTAAAAAAAGTACATTGGATCAAAGAGAATGTGCATGCTTATTAGCATAGTACCTGCACATGACATGCATCCAGTTATTAATAGTTACATATTGGGTTGTCAGAAAAGACAAGTTTTTGCATGGAAAACCAAAAAAATACGTCATGACTTTTCTGACAACCCAATAATTCTTTTTAATTGATAGTATAATGGTACCCAACTCTAGTATTGCATTTTCTGACCTGTTTTCTTTTATTTTTTTTAAGAATTACTTTATTTAACTTTATTTACTATTATTATTTTCCAGTTCGATCAGAGAGAGACAGAGAGAAAGCAAGAAAGCAAGTCACCAGGTCTAGGACTTGAACCACAGTCGGCCATGTGGGAGTCCAGCGCCTTTAACTACCACGCCACCTACTGACCTGTTTTTCTTCAGAGTGAAAGTAAATACTTCTTTCTTCATATTCTCATGCCTTGATGGTCTTTTAGTTTTATTTTATAAGGTATTTTACATACATAAAGAAGTGGAGATAATAGTACTTGATTGCAGCCTACTGGGTTTCCATAGATAATTTGATATGTTGATTTTTTAAAAAAATTTTCTGCCTTTATTCTTTTAATTTGACCCCCCCCTCCCCGCCCACACACACAGAATGAGAGAGAGAGGAAATTGAGAAAGTAAACCTCCAGGTCCGGGACTTGAACCATGATTGGCCTTGTGGAAGTATCCAGTACCTTAACCACCATGGCATCTGCTGGTCGCCCCCCCCCCTTTTTTTTTAAAGGGATATTTGCTATAGGAAGCATGCCCATGTCAGAGAGACAGAAAGCAAGAAATCACCCCCCTAGGGGGATGACCATGCCATAGTCCCCTCTCCTCCACTCTCCTCCTGGGATCCTGGGCATGCATGCAAACGTGCTTAACTTGTGTCTAAGCCACTGGGTCTGGCACACAAACCTCAATCGACTCTGTGGGAGTCCTGCAACGTAATCATTACACCATCTGCTGGCTCCTCTGTTGTATTACTTGTGATAACATTCTAAAAACTATCATTTAAAACAATATTTTATTTAACTTATCCATTTTTAATTTGACCAGAGAGGGACAGAGAGAAAACAAGCTTCCAGGTCCAGAACTTGAACCACAGTCAGCCATGTGGGAGTTCAGTGCCCCTAACTACCATGCATGCCACTTGCTGGCCCCCTTCCCCTTTTTTTCTTTTAATAAAATGCTTCAAAGTTGGCCACATTATTTACATCTTCTTTGATTTTTTTTGTCTTTTTTGGTAGTTTTTCTGTAGAGTATGTGCATTTGCCAGAGAGAAAGTGAGAAAGCACCCTCATGGTCATGCCACAACCCCTTCTCCTCCTTTCTCCTCTCAGGATTTTGAGCATGGACACATCCATGCCCAACATGTTTTTCAAGCCGCTATGGCTGGGATTCAAACTGTGGTTGGGCATATTGGATCTGGCTCCTTCAATCTGGCCACAGGGGTACACCCTATTTTATTAAAAAAAAAAATTGCCAGAGCATATGGGCTTTCCAGAGAGAGAGAGAGACAGAGACAGAAAAGGAAAGGGAGAAAGCATCCCTCAGTGGGGTATAGCCATTTTGCAATCCCTTTTTTTTTTTGTTTGGAGAGGTTTTTGCTATAGGGCACGTGTGCTCACCAGACAGACAGAGAGATAGAAAGCAAGAAATCACCTCCCAGAGGGGGTGGCCACGCCGCAATCCATTCTCCTTTCGGGATCTTGGGCACACGCGCACACGCGCCCAGCATGAGTTTTAAGCCAACGGGTCTGGGACTCAAACCGTGGTCGACTATGTGGGAGTCCAGTGACAGCCATTACGCTAACTGCTGGTTCCCCTTCTTCATTTCTTCATCCTTTTGGGATTTTGAGCACACACAAATATGTGCCTGGCTTTTCAAGCCATTAGATTCTGGATTTTGACCATGTGTGATAGGCTCCCTTTATCACTATGCCACCGACTGGTCCTATTTTTGTTTGCTTTGTTAATTTATAGGGCATGTGCACTCACTAAAGAGAGAGAGAAAGCACTGTGGCAGGACCATCCTTGGGGGAGTGATTTCTCTCTCTCTGTCTCTAGAAGATACATGTGCCTTATAGCAAAAACTTAAAAAAAAAATAGATTAGCAGGTGGTCTGGTGGTTAAGGCTGCTGGATTCCACATGGCTGACTGCATGGTTCAAGTCTTAGACCCAGCAGCTTGAAAAATAAGCCTGGCTTGTGTAGGTGTACTCAAAATCCTAAAAGGAGAATGGAGGACTAGGGATTATAATGTGATTATTCCCCCTTGGGGAGTACATTTTCTCTCTCTTTCTCTTTCTCTCTCTCTGGTGAGTAAATGCACCCTATAGCAAGAAATTTTTAAAGAATCTACTGGTAAATCTGATAGTCAAGGAAGGTTTACAGCCTCTGACTTTACTTAACATCGTTGTAAGCCCCTTAACCTCCCTTGCCTCCTGTCAGGTAAATTTGTTGTTTTTGTTTATTTCTTTCTTTCATGAACCTCGAGCATGAGGGAGAGAGACACAGTGCACAACAGTACTCCCAGCAGGAGTGATCCCTTCTGTGTTTCAGCCAGCCCCTGCCAGCAAGGCAGGTACTTGCTCCATACTCAGCAGTCTCTGGACTTGAACTGGGGACCTTATTATATGGGATTGCCTCACAGAGCACCACATTTTCCTTTTTCTCTACTGTCTAGCTCCTCATTGGATAAATTCAATATTTCATGAACACGTCATATTGAAAAAATTCCCTGCCTAAGAACACCCCTCGGCAGGGGGGGCGGGGGGTAGTGTTGCACAGGCTTTGGAATTCTGCAGACTTAGACTCAAAACCTGACTCCTCAACTGGATAAGGGACTTTTTTATGAGAGAGAGTTTCTTTTCTTTTGCTTTAGGGTACATGTGCTCGCTGCTGAAGAGACAGAGACCGAAAGTGAGAAAAAACCTTCCGGGGGGGGATGGCCACACTGCAATCTCCTCTCCTTCATTCTCTTCTTGGGATATAGGGCACACACATAAACGCGCGCGCGCGTGCACCTGGTGTGAGGTTTTAAGCCACTGGGTCCAAGACTTGAACCATGATTGGCTACGTGGGAGTCCAGTGGTGTAATCATTATACCACCTCCTGGTCCCCTCTTTTTTATTTTTTGAGAGTTTTGCTATAGGACATGAACACTCTCCAGAGAGATTCAGATAAGAAAGCAAGAAATCACCCCCAGTGGGGATGGCCATGTTGCAATCCCTTGTCCTCCATTTTCCTCTTAGGATTTTGGGCATGGACACACATGTGCCTGGTGTGGGTTTCTTTGTTTCTTTTTTAAAAAAGGTTTTTGCCTGGGACTGGCAGATGGTGTAATGGTTACATTGCTGGACTCCCATGTAGTTACTGCAATTTAAGTCCCAGCCCCAGTAGTTTAAACTCATCTCATGCTGGGTGTATGTGTGTGCTTGCTGGAAATCCTGAGAAGAGAATGGAGGAGAAGGGGTTGTGACGTGGCCATCCCCCCGGGGGGTGATTTCCTGCTTTCTGTCTGTCTCTCTGTCTCTCTAGCGAGTGCATATACTCAATAGCAAAAATCTCTCTTTAAAAAAAATAGGTTTTTGGGAACCAGCAGTTAGCGTAATGGCTATGTTGCTGGACTCCGACGTAGTCGACTGCAGTTCGCATCCCGGACCC